CCTTCTGAGTCTTCTGAGACAAAAACTGTTCCATGCATCTCTCTTAGCTTCTGGTGGCTCCTGGAAATCCTTTGCATTCCTAGGCTTGCATCTGCCTCTATAGTCACATGGCCAACTTTCTTCCGTCTAACGCTGTGTCTGTGTCTGATCTCGTCTTTTATTATAAGACACCACTCAGATGGGATTAGGATCCACCATACTCTCGTATGACTTTATGTTAAGTGATAACATTTTCAAAGACCCTATTTCCAAACAAGATCATGTTCACAGGTACCAAGGATTAGGACTTCAACATATTTTGGGGAACACAATTCAAGCAATAGCACTCCACCCTCTGGTCCCACGAAATTATGTCCTTATACATGCAAAATGCATTCACCACATCCCAGCACCCCCAGTTATCTTAACCCATCCTAGCATCAACTCAAAGTCCAAAATATCATTTACTAAATAATTTAAATCAAGTATGGATGAGACTGTATGATCTATCCTGGAGAGAAAATTATTATCTGTGGACTTGGGAAACCTAGAATACAAACCTAGAATACACGTGTAGACCAGGCATAGGAGGGAAACCATCTCCTGGCTCTTGGCCATTGTCATATTTTCCATTCGCCCACCAGTCTCATGAAGTCCCAGGGGTTGCAAACTGTGCCTAAGGAGGGTATGCCCCCTGTGCAGGGAGCTCTGCTTGGTCCAGGTACACTACAGGCCCCAAATTAGACCTGTTTTCACTCAGTGAAGAATGACTTATGGTGTTGCTGAGAACAAAAATATTGAGATGAGGTTCTCCAAGAGTGAGATATGAAAACTGAAAGATAGATATGAGCAAAAGTCCAAAGAATCTGATACAACTTGGCTGGTGCACCTGTTTGATGGGGGGGCCTTAAAAACTCAGATGTCCCACATTGAGTGGTACAGTTTGGAGAAACTGACCACTGTTCCTCTGCTGCAGTGTGTATTTGCCCACATTAAGCAGGACAACTGACAAGATAGAGATAAACCCATGCCCCTTCTGGTATGGGTTGCTGGAAGTATGAGAATAGTACTCCTTACCTCTGGGGACTTCCCCCAAGGTAAAACCCGTGGAGAACTGTTCATGAGGCTATAGCTGCTCTTCAGATAGAGACAGAAGATACCTGGTTGTATGAACCTGCCCCTGCAGAAGACATAGATAACACTGTTCTGAACTGTACTGGAAGCATTTATGTGAAAGGACCTCCACAATGGAAGACCCCTTTGTCCTTTCTGTCCTGTCTTGAAAGTGTGGGAGGAGGTGGAGAAACTCCACTGCAACATCCTACAATGGGGTGGAGGAAACAGGGTAGTGTGGAGCATCTCCACTGAGGCAGGCCCAGACATATGAGAGCCTAGAAATGGGAAGCAGCAACTGAGGGACCAAAAAGGGAACTTGAAAGGCAACCTACGAAAATGGACGGAGGGGATGGGTCTGACTTGCAAAGTGGCTTTGGTTGCTGAAATAGGATAGACAAAGCAGAAATTGATGGGATCCCTACAGAAGACTTATGTCAATGCTATCAGGTGGAAGGGGACTCCCCTAAGTTAGAGATCGACACTCTAGTTTGAGTCATAAAATAACAGGAGGAAGAGGACTCACAGGGCTAGAAGGATTTAGAATCCCACATAGCAGCCTTTCAAGTCCTTGAACACAGCCCAAGAACAGGGATGCACAGGTTGCTAACACTTTCTTGCGCTCCAACCAGAATAGTGAAGAAGGTAACCCCAACCATGAACCTAAGTTGGTTGAGGATGGCTCCCTGCACTTGTACCCTGACTTCACCCCTTTTACCAATGATTAGGGGTGGGTCATGGTCTTCGGATGCTTTCCAGTGACTGGTGGCCTTGTGCATCCATAAAAGTGGATGTGGGGAAGGGGAGGACACAAACCTTCATGTGGCTCCTCGATACTGGAGACTAAGTGGCAGTAATCAAAGGGGTAATGGCAAGCTCGTGCTTTTGGTGGGTTTTAGGATGGAGGCAGTGACCCATAGTAGGCAAGTGGGTATGTGCTTGTGGGCAGGGTCCTTTTGATGATTTTGGGCATTATGTTGTTGTGTTAGGTGCTGTCAAGTTGATTCTGACTCACAGAGACCCCATGTGACAGAATAGAACTTCTCCATATGGTCTTCATGGCTGTAATCCTTATGGGAGCAGATTGACAGGTCTTTCTCCTGCGGAGTGGCTGGGTAGGTGTGAACCACCAACATTTTGGTTAGCAGCCAAGCTCTTAACTTGCACCACCAGGGCTGTGTGCAGCATGGAATATCATCACCACCTGAGGGGCTACACCCCCTCACAGCAAAGAATTCAAGCTGTAACAGTGGGACTGATTCACTCCTGCCTCCTGAATTGCCCAAGCCCCATCAGGTTATTCAACAAAGGCAATACTGCCTCCCAGGTGGAGAAAAGAACATTAGTTTCAGGACTTGTGCCAGGCCAGAGTGTTAAGAACCACCCTGTTGCAGTTTGATAGCCCAGTTTGGCTCATAAAAAAGACCTCAGGAGTACAGAGACTGACAATAGACTACCGCAGATTGAATACCAAGGTGCCACGCTTGGCCCCTGCAGTACCAGATATCATTACCGATACAGTGGTGGCTCACATAGGAAGCTGGTATACTGTTACTGACTTGGCCAATGCCTTGTTATTGACTCATTTGCAGGACCAATTTGCATTTACCTGAAACAGTCTACAATACACTCTCACTGTTTCTGCAGGTATACTTAAATCCCCCTGCAATTGCCACCAATGAGTGGGCCTAGACCTGCAACAAGCCAGTTTATTCCCAGAGGTGTTCAATGACATCCTCATTGCCGGCCCGACCAAAGGGAAACTTAAACAGACCCTGCACAAGGTTACAGCTGTCATGACATGGGCTAGTTGAGCTATAAACCCTGACAAAGTTCAGAGGCAACCTAGCAAGTAAAATTCTTGAGGACCACTTGGGCCTGCCAACAAAGCATTCCTGAAGAAATTAAACAAAAATTGTTGTCTATGGTGGCACTCACTAACAAAAAGGAAGCCCAACAGCTGGTCAGCTTGTTTTGCTACTGGAGGCCATAAAGCAGCCACCTTTAAATTGGGCCCCTAAAACAAATAGGCCTTGGAAGCTGTGCAACATGCAGTGGGACAGGCCCTACCACTGGGGCCCACCAGCCTTATGGAACTGCAGGTATCAGTGACTCCTACCCATACAGACTTTGGCAACAAGAAACCACCACTGGGGTATGCTGGTTTCTAGGGCTTTGGACCCGTAAACTACCCCAGGCAGCCATGAGGTACACCTTTTTCAAGTGGCAGCTCTTAGTCTGTTATTGGATCTTACTGGAAAATGAGTGTTTAACCACTGATGCACTCTATGTGACCAGAACTGCCTATCCTTATGTGGGTGCTCACTAATCCTACTAACAAAAATAGGGCAAACTCAACAAAGTTGAGTTTAATGGAAATGGTACATCAGAGACTGAGCTCGATCAGGGCCTCAGGGAGTAGCTAGTTCCATGAACAAATAGCTGCTTTGCCAGAGGGGGCTGAGAGGCCCACAAAAGGCCCATGGTTTGAAGATATGGCTGATGGTATGGCTTGGTTCATGGATGGATCCCCAGGTGATTCTTGTTAAATTGTAGATTCTGATTCAGTATATCTGAGGGTGAAAAGGCAAATCCTCAGCAGGGGATCAAACCAGAACGAACTAGTTCGAAGCCCTGTAAAAAACCCACAATAATGAATCTCTATTACCACACCATGAAACAAGTTTAAATTGGAAGCAAGTCTGGGTGAGAGGATGTAGAGGGTAGTTTGGTCACATCTCAGGTAACCTCCCCATTGGTTTGAGCCTCCATTTCCATTGTTTAAACACGCTTGTGTTATCACTATCATTTCCGTGAGGATTAGTCTTTCATGGATCCCAGTTAGCTTCTGCCAGCTGCCTAGGAGCACTACCAACCTTGTTTAATTTAGAGAGTATCTTTAACATATTTATTTTGATCACAGAACATATCTCTTTTTATAATTTTTGTATAATTATATAATTTTCATAACATCTCATTTCCTTTTTTATAATTAGTTTTATCAATTTGATGATGTTTTAAATGCTTTACGTTATGGATAAATCCTTGGTGAATTTGTTTATAGGTATTTAAGAGTATTTTAGTTGCATTGAATAAATTGAAGTTTGGGGATGAGTTAGATACACAGTGCTAATGATAAAATATAGGCCCAGCTATCTAAAAATTAAGAGCCCTGGTGGCACAGCGGTTAAAGCACTGGGCTGCTAACTGAAAGGTTGTTGGTTCGAACCCACCAGCTGCTCCACAGGAGAAAGATGTGGCAGTCTGCTTCCATGAAGATTTCAGCCTTGGAAACCCTATGGGGCAGTTCTCTGTCCTGTAGTGTCGCTATGAGTTGGAATCAACTTGATGGCAGTGGGTTTGGATTGGCAGGATAGCTAAAAATTAGCCATCCAACACATGTTGGAGAATACATTAGATTTGAAAAAAATTATTGATGCCTGTATGTGAGAGAATTATAAACTAAATTCATGATAGTGGCTGTTTCAAAGGTGGGAGGGGAATAGGATTGAGAGACAAATGGGTGGGTGTTCATTGTACTACTCTTTTAGCTTTTCTGTAGTTTTGTAAAACCTCAAAAGAAAATTCTGGAGGAAAGGATTTAGCTACAAAAAGACTTCAACATACAAATAAAACAATAATACTAGAAGAAAAAATTTTAAAAATATGAATGATCTTGGGGTGGAGGAAACATTCTATACAGATATATTTGATTATGTAAAAGTCAAAATAATATCTATGACAACCAACCAAACCAAACCCATTGCCGTCAAGTCGAATTATGACTCATAGCGACCCTATAGGACAGAGTAGTACTGCCCCATAGGGTTTCCAAGGAGAGCTAGTGGATTCGAACTGCTGACCTTTTGGTTAGCAGCCAAACACTTAACCACTGCACCACCAGGGCTCCATCTATGACAAAAGTTGCCATAAGAAAAAAAGACTGAGAAATTATTTTTGTAACCCATATGATTAAAGTTATAGCCATAACATAATTTCTACAAATTTATAAGAGAAAAATGATACAACAGAAATAAAGCCAAGACTACAAATAGGTAATTTATAGAAAATTCAGATGGCCAGTATACAAATTAAAACATGCTCAATCTACCTAATATTTAGAAAAACTCAAAGCAATGTCTTGGTGTTTCATCAGAAAGACTGACAAAGAATGCTGTTAGGTCATGAGGAAATATGCATCTTAGCACAATGCTGATGAGAATAAATGTGTGATATCTGGAAAATAACATTATTAGCTATTTCAACAAAAAATACACATACTCTGACTCATGAATCTCATATAACAGAATATCTTACAGAAATAAAACACAAATATGCCAAGCATTTGTGTATAAGGATATTTATTGACGATTGAAAATTCAAAGAATGAAACAATCTGAATGTTAATCAATAAACAATTTGAACATGTAATGCTTCTACATATGTAGTTTTCTGCAGCTACCAACATTAAAATGAGTCAGTAAAATGTTTATACCTGGAGAGATGTGAAAAGTATTACACTCCTGAGATTTCTCAAGACAAGAAATAAACTGACCTCCATTAAAAGAGTAATGGTTAAATCTCTTCCAACATTTTTATATTCATAATACTTTACAAGAGAGAAAAAAAGTGAGAGCTCTGAGAAAACGCCTTCTCAAAATCTTTATATTCATAGGATTTCTCAAAAGTATAAATATTCTGGTGTTGAGCAAAATCTGAGTCATGACTAAAGGTGTTCCTGTAGTCTTTCCATTCATAGAGATTCTCATCATGAATCTTCTGTTCAATACAATATAAATGATGACTAAAGATTTGCCCACTTTCCTTACATTCATAGGGTTCTGTACCAGTGTGAATTTTCCTATGTCGTGTAAGCTGTGAGCCCCATATAAAGGATTTCCCACATTCTTTACATACATAAGGTTCCTCACCAGTATGAATTCTCTGATGTCGAGTAAGTTGTGAACCCCAGAGAAAGGCTTTTCCACATTCTTTACATTCATATGGTCTCTTGCCAGTGTGAATTTTCTGATGTCGATTGAGTTCTGAACCACGGAGAAAGGTCTTTCCACATTCCCTACATTCATAGTTTCTCTCACCAGTATGAATTTTCTGATGACGATTAAACTCTGAGCCATGAAGAAAGGTCTTTCCGCATTCCTTACATTCAAAGAGTTTCCTCTCACTATGAATTTTCTCATGTTGAGCAAGATATGAAGCCCAAATAAAGGTCTTCCCACAATCCTTACATTCATAAGGTTTCCTACTGGTATGAATTCGTTGATGTCGAGCAAGGTGTGAACTCCAGATATAGGCTTTCCCACATTTCTCACATTTGTAGGGTTTCCTGCCAAAATGAATATTTTGATGTTGAGCAAGATTTGAACCACGAATAAATGCTTTTCCACATTCCTTACATTCATGAGTTTTTTCACCAGCATGAATTCTCTGATGCTGAGTTAGGTGTGAGCCACGAGTAAAAGCTTTCCCACATTCTTTACATTCATAAGGTTTTTCACCAGTGTGAATTCGCTGATGTTTAGTGAGATGTGATCGCTGACTAAAGGCCTTCCCACATTCATTACATTCATAGGGTTTCTCACCAGTATGAATTCTCTGATGTCGAGTAAGGTCTGAACCACAACTAAAGGCCTTCCCACATTCCTTACATTCATAAGATTTCTCACCAGTATGAATTCGCTTATGAACACTAAGTTGTGAATGAAATCTAAAGGCCTTTCCACATTCCTTACATTTAAAAGGCGTCTCACCAGTATGAATTCTCTGATGACCAGTAAGACTTGAACGCAAACTAAAGGACTTCCTACATTCTTTACATTCATATGTTTTCTTACAAGCGAGAACAGTCTGACATTGAGTAAGTTCTGAATCAGGAAGAAAGGTCTTCCCACATTCCTTTTCTTCACAGAGTTTCTTGCCAGTATCAATTAACTGATTTTGAGTAAGGTCTAAGCCACAACTAAAGGCATTCTCACACTCTTTAAATTCATTCAGTTTCTCTCCTGTATTAAGTCTCTGACATAGATTAGAAGATGTGTGCTGGGTAAAAGTGGGTACTTTTTCGTAGGTGAGTATCAGCTGATTAAAATATTCCTCCTGATTTTCCTGTTGTGTCTCAAACTGATCTCTGCCCTCCCAATCATCTCCAAAACACAAACTTTCAAGGCTGTGGTTTTTATAAATATCCATGATTTCCCGTTGGGGTAATTCTCTTTCAACAATGCCATTTTTTGGTGACAATTTCTTGGTCTGACATCTGGACTGCATGTCTGAAAGATAAGAAGATAAATACATACTGTTTTAGTGTTCAAAAAGAAATAAACCTTCCACTGTAGATATAGGAAGTAAATCTTAATATACACAAAAAGTGAACGGTTTAAATAATTCTGGACAATATGAAAAAAGGGCAGAAAATAGAAATGTAAAAGAATTCATAAAAGTTGAGTCAAATGATAAGTTTTCATTGAATTCATCTGAGGAGTTCAGTAAAAAAAAGATTGTCCAGGTACCACCCCAACCATGGAATAACAAAGCCTTAAGGATATTTCACTCACTATGGTATAATTAACACCTAGCACATGTTAGGCATTTAAAGGTAATTGCTGAGTAAATACACTATACAACAACAACAAAAAGGGATTTAGGAAGAAGTAAAAGAATATCACAAAGGCCGAGGGTCAAGAAGGACAGGTAGGATAACCTAATCATGTAATAACAATATAACATGTCTCACTGCCTAATACCTTCCATCTCTACTGAATGATTATATATACTACTTCCATATCACTTTCTTTAAAGATGAAAGAAACAAAAGTATATCTAGTGTCTTAGTCTGGGTTCTCTAGGGCAAAACCAGTGAAGTGTATATAAATACACACACACACACACACACACACACGTATGAGAGTAAATCAAAAAGTATTGCTACAAGATCATAGAAACCTTTATTAAACAAAAATATCCAAATGTGAAGCTATTGTTTCTCGATATATCCTCCATCTAGGGCTACAAACTTCTGAAGGCCATGTTTCCATCTCTCTAACCCTTCCCCCAAATTCTGTACTCTTCAATTTAACAATCACATCAAAATGGCAGTTCTAGCATCCTCGAGGGACTCAAATCATGTTCTTTTTAAGTGTTCTTTGAGTTTTGGGAACAAAAAGAAGTCTGAAGGGGCAAGATCAGGGCTGTAGGGTAGATGGTGTAAGATTTCCCGGCAAAATTCTCATACGACATCCCTTGCTACCCTTGAAGAATGAGCAGGTGCATTGTAGTGATGGAAAAAAATTCTTTGGCACAACATTCCTGGCCTTTTTCTCACCAATGCAGTTTTCAATTTTCTTAAAACTTATTTATAATAAGCCCCCAGGATTGTCCTGTGTCCTTTGAGAAAATCCATCACGATTACTCCTTTGTAATCCCAAAAAACAGTTGCCATGAACTTCTGAGCAGTCTTCCCTCTCTTGGCTCATCTTTGAGGTCTTCCCAACCTTCCTTAAAATGCTTGATCAATCTAAAAACAATTGTTTTATGTGGGGCAGCATTCCCATAAACTTGTTGCAAAGCTTCAGTGATTTGGGAAGATGTCTACTTGAGTTTTGTTAAAAATTTGATATTAGCCCTGACCTCAAAATAATTTTTTTCCATGGCACAAGAAGTATCCTTTTTTTTTTTTTTTTGAAGGCAGCCTAACACGACTAAGACAAGTGCATCACTGAGAGCACTTGTCTGCAGCCATCCACTGATCAGAGACATGTTTAAATGTGTTTTGTTTGGAATAAACGCATGTGTGTATGAATTGGAGCCCTAGTAGCAATACTTTCTTACTTATCCTTGTATATATAGAGAGAAATTTACTTCAAGGAAATAGTTCATGCAATTGTGAGGAAATGGCTCACGCAATTGTGGGTGGCAGGTAATCCCAAATCCGTGGGTCAGACAACAGGCTGAAGACCTCTGCTGGCTCACATGGTTGCACAGGCTGATGAACCCCAAATCTGCAGGGCAGGCAGCAGTCCAGAGACTTCTGCAGGGTTATGTCCCAAAAACCGAGGTCAGGCGACAAGAAAAGTGCAGGGTCAAGAAAGAGCAAGCTTTGCCAGAACATCCATTTATATACTGGAGGCTGGCCACACCCCCAAGAAAACTCCACTGATGTGGCTGCTCACATCAGATCACAAAACGGAAGGTGATTACATAGTGTCTGCCAAACCACTGACAATCATAGTGTAGCCAAGTTGATGCAACATTAGCCATTACAGTGGAAGGTTATCTCTGTGGCTCTGGGGGAAGGTCCTTGTCTCTTTTCATCTTGTACTTGGTTCCTTGGAGAGCTCATGTAGCATAGGATGTATCATCCCCCATCTCTGCTTGTTTCTCTTAGTCTAATCTACTCATCTTATTTCTCAAAGGTGATAGGTTTAAGACACATCCTACACTGATATAGCCACATAAACACAACAAAGAAAACTCGATTCCCAAACGGGATTACATCAACAGGTATAGGTGTTAGGATTTACAACACATATTTTGGGGGGACACCAATCCACAACATACACCCTCTGGCCACCCCAAATTTATGTCCTTCCCACATTAAAAAAAAAATGCATTTACCCTAACACATCATCCCAAAAGTCTTAACTCCAAGTCCAAAATCTCATTGCTAAATCATCTAAATAAAATATGAGAGAGAATTTAGGTGTATTCTATCCTGGGATACTTGTAAAATCTAGAATACAAGTTACCTATTTCCAAAGTACAATGGTGGAACAGGCACAAGGTAGACATTTCCATTACAAATGGAAAAAATTGGAGGGAAAGAAGGGATAATGGACACCAAGCAAGTCCAAAACACAGCAGAACAAATTACAAACCTGATGCCATCGAGTTGATTCTGACTATAGCAACCCTACAGGTAGAATTGCCCCATAGGGTTTCCAAGAAGCGGCTGGTGGATTCAAACTGTTGACCTTTTGGTTAGCAGCCTAGCTCTTAACCATTGCGCCACGAGAGCTCCACATTAGCTCTTAGGGCTTAAAGATAATCCTGTGTTCTCTGAGACCATCTAGGCAATGATTCTGCCCTCCAGACTCTGTGTATTGGCCATGCTCTCCGGATTCTGGGCTTCAGCACCACCTTTCAGACCCAGTGGGATGGCAACTCTGCTCCTTGGCCTTTGGGTGGCCCCAATCTCCTAGTCCATCTGAGTGGTGACTCCACCCCCTGGGCCCCAGTAGACTCCGTTCTCCTACCCTTTGGGCATGGCAGCCCTGCCCCCTCAACTTTGAGTGGCAGCCCCATCCTCTTGGCCAACCTGAAAACAGCCCCACACTCCAGAACCCACTTGGTGGAGATCTGACTCTGAAACCTAGGAGGCAGTGGTTCCACCCTTTGAAACCCATGTGGCTGTAGCTCCACCCTTTGAAACCTAGGAGGCTGTGAGTCTACCCTTTGAGACCTCGGAGACCTTGGCTCCATCCTTTCAAATTGAGTCAGCCCTGCTTTCTGTGTTCCTTCCAACAGTTCTGCTGATCTCCGAGCTGCTTCAGGGATGGTCCTTTTCTTTTCTTGGAGGACAACAGATGTAGTAGCTCTTTTGGCCTGTTTCCTGCCGTAGAATTCCAAGAGGCAGACAGCATTCTCTCTTTTCATTCTTTCTCTGTCCCCTTCAGCATAAGCTGATCGATTTTCTCCTGTGGAAGTTGGTTAGATCCATCAGACATAGGCTTAATCTCTTTAACAAAAGATTGCATAGCCACATCCTTGGTGAAAATTCTAGGACACGTGTTCTGAGTTAGTACAACAGAATTTTCCAAATCTTTTAAGTTCTGTTTATATTTTGCACAGTTCATTGTTAAGTCCATCTCTTTCCTCTCACATTTTATTATAAATGGCAAGGAAAAACCATGGGCCCCTTTAAGATCTTGCTTAGAAATCTAAGCCAAATATCCAAATTCATCATTTACAAGGTCTGCCTTCTACCAAACATTTGAACATAATTCAGACAAGTTCTTTGCCACTGCATAAAAATCACCACCCTTCCACCACTATCCAATCACATGTTCATTTTCTTTTAAAGCCTCACCAGAAGCACATTTAACATCCACATGCTAACAACATTCAGCTGATGTCAGCATATGTATTTTCTAAAACGAGACTTTCTCTATGACTGCTCATTTCCACCTAAACTCTCATCAGAATTGCCTTTGATGTCCATAATTCTAAGCAACAGTGTCTTCAAGGCAATCAAGGCTTTTACTGTTAGGCACTTTAAAACTCAGCCTCCATCCATTACCTAATTCCAAAACCACTTCCACATTTTACGTATTCATTAGAGCAGCACCCCACTCTCTGGTACCAAATGTTTTAGTCCAGGTTCCAGGCTATCTTAGTCAAAGCAAATATGGAAAAATGTGATCATACATAGTTCTTCATCCTTCCATTTGTCTTTGCACACGCAAAGACTTCACCCTGCTCATTTCCTCTGCTGTGTATAGCCGTATCATTTTTTGTCACATGATCCCAACTAAGAGATTTACTAAGAGTTTACTAAGAGTTTAAACTAACAGTTTACTTGTTTATGCTTGAATTTATAGTATTGCTCATTCATCCTTTAGAAGCACAATCTGGGGCTTTCATGCCCTTTCCCAGGTCTTAGCTTCTTTTCCCTTATATCCAAGGCTACTAAAAATATCTCAGAAAAGATCTAGTTTTCCAAGTATTGTGTAAGATGTGTACATAATTCTGACTTAAAAATAGGTATGTTGGAAATAACAGAACATCAGTCTAATATGTGAAGAATGGTCTGGTCTAAAGCTACCAGGGTCTAGGAACCTAACAACATAGGGTATGTTGCATTCAAGTTAAAGAAAATAATTATGAATAACAGTTCAGATAGAAAAATAGTTGGAGAAGATTGTCAAGGGAGAATTCAATTATTACTCGTTTAAAAAAAAAAACCCCGTTGCCTTCAAATCAATTCTGACACATAGCGACCCTAAAGGACAGAGAACTGCCCCATAGGGTTTCCAAGGAGCACCTGGTAGATTCGAACTGCCGACATTTTGGTTAGCAGCCGTAGCTCTTAACCACTACACCACTTAAAAATAACCCATTTGCAGTGAGGTTATAATGGAACTGATACGGTCTCTGACCTCCATATGAACCAATGCCCTCCAGTCCTCCAGAGAACTTAGGTATTAATGCCCACATTATACAAGTGCACTCAAGCAGTAGCTACCTCTATGATGTCCCTTGTACTCACCAAGAAATCAGTTGTTTGTTCCCAAATTAGTTTATAAAAATTGTTATTTTAATTAAATATTATATAATAAAATATAAGAGAAGCATTGTTTTTATGAAAACTAAGTTGAATGAGTCTAGAAAGACTCAATTAGAAGGCTAGCCAAATTTATCTTAGTAGTTTTGAGTGAGCCCATCATAAAGACTGGAAAAAACTAAAAGAGATTCTACGGTAAGTACACCTAAATTCTCACTCCCCTTTAATGAAAAAGAACCAGGAAATTAGGACAATGAGTTATAGGTCTGGTTAATACAAGAAAGAAGAGGCAGAATTCCAATCAGCACAAATATAACCTGGACCTATATTGAAACATGGGTGAATGAACAGTTAGAGGTTGTAAATAAATATTTACAAGTTGGTCAAGGTACTCATGTAATTTTGTATGATTTTAAATAACTTTTCAACAACTAGTCAATTAACTATCTTAAAGTAGTTGGGCAAGTGGTCTTCTAACTTTAAACCCTTCTGCTCTGAAATCTCGTATCAGAGCCTTGACTATCAACCAGTGTGGAAAATTCCTCATAAATAATGTGTACCAGGAGTGATAACTTTAGTACAAGAAATGCAGAGCAACCTTAATATACAATAATATATTCATAGTACTTGAAAATAAACCAAACTTTTTCAAAAAGGCATATGGTATTGTTTAGGGAATAAAAAGTAACACAAAACTGTATACACCTTATAGAACAGAATAATTTTTAAAAGCTTTTTATTTTGAAATAATTATGAATTCACAGGAAGTTGCAAAGATAGTCCAGAGAAGTGCTATGTATCCTTCACTCAGTTTCCTTCAATGGCCACATATTCCATAATTATAGTACAATATTAAAACTAGGAAATTGACACTGATAAAATGTGTGTATAATTTTATGTCTTTTTATCACATGTATGGATTCGTGTAACCACTACCATAGTCAAAATAAAGAACTATTCCATCACCCCAAAGATCACCCTTGTGCTACCTCTTTATAGTCATAACCCCACCACCACTACCATCCCTAACCCCCGGCAACCGCTAATCTGTTTTCCATCTCTAATTGTGTGATTTACACGTTATATAAAATGAATCATATAGCATGTGACCTTTTGAGATGAACATTTTTCACTCAGAATAAGAATATCCCTGAGATCTATTCAAATTGTTGCATGTATAAATAGTTCAGGAACAGAACAATTTTAAAACATAAATGTTTCTGGAATTTAAAAACACATTTCCAAAAAAGAAACAAAAATTTATTTTCTTTCTCTCATATTGCAAATTAAAAAGAGGCTCCAAGAGAATGTTATTTCAATCTGAGACCTGCCCATAATAGGAAATATACCCATTACCCATCTACTTGACAAATATAATCCTTGCTTCCTGACAGCCACGATTTGTCTCTCTGGTTGTTCTTCATTAGCCCTGACCGCTCTTCTGCCACCCTCCTCGCTGTGGCCAGAAACCATTTTCACTTATTATACTAATTTTCAGCTAAGCATCCTATTAGACCTAAGCATCCTAATACACTATTGTATATTACGTATGAAATAACATATACTTGGAGCCTCTTTTTAATTTCTATTTTGCAGAAATTTATGGACATGTTTCAGAACATAGTACAAACTTTCTTAATAAATAATGTACCCTTTGTTAACTCTCCTAAATCTAAAATTATAAAATCAGTAAATGTTAATTAAAAATAATGAATTAATGAATCTATGAACTGCAGAAGCAAGGAGAAACCAGCCAAAATTAAAAAAAAAAAAAAAAGTTATGAGGTAGTAGTTAAAATGAAAAGCAGCATTAATAATTTTTTTTTTTTTTTTTTTAGGGAGTGAAGTAATTTACAAACATCTAAATTAAAAAAGAGAGAGATGGGAAGAACTGAATCCAAAGCATGGATAAAATAATAACCACTGGAGAAAACAAAATGACATTTACCTTTTTGTAACATGAGGGAAAAATGAAAACACAAAAACAGAGTGTTAGTTGGAGGTGAAAGGAAGGTTCTTTTGGAAATTTGTTAAAAAGGTTACTTTCGTCTCTAGGTTTCACGTCTTTATCCACAAGCTTTTGGTCTTTGAAGGGAGATTCCAGATTAATATCTCAGAGGTGTTGTTGCCTCACCGAGTAACTGGACTGGAGATGGCCTCCCTGTGCCTGCTAAGCCCTTACTCACCTGGGCAAGGTCCTCTTGTCTGGTACCTCAAAACCTTCCAGGGCTCTTTCCCTTTTTCCAGTAAGGAGAACATATCTGGCTGATGAATGCAAAGTCCTGCTCGGAAGACAAGAAATAGGAAATAACCATGTACTAAGAGTTTCAAACTTTGTACCTAGTCATTTGGTTATTAAGGAAGAGAGACAACTACAGGAAGAGGAAAAAAGTCACAAAGGACTTGTAAAGGTAAAGGAGGGGGAAGATGGGGGTTTTTCATGATGATGACTATTGCCAGCTTTACAAAGCACAAACCATTTTCCCAGAAACAGAGGCCAGAAATTTGCCTTTTGAAAGACAATCGAAAAATTCACAATGTGGAAAGCAGGAATTTCTGGGATCAAATTCTGAATCATTTGGGGGTGATACTCTTACCCAGTAAGACCATGTTGCTGTAGTTTTCCAACATTACGTCTCTATATAAATCCCTCTGTTCCAAGTCCAGGCACTCCCACTCCTCCTTAGAGAAGTCTATGGCCACATCCCTGAACATCACCAACTCCTAAAATGACAAACCCAACTATTAATGGTGAAATTAAAAGAAACTTTTTAGATGGAAAATGGCACTGCAGGAGATGAGATAGACAATGAGCAAGCAGTCTGGAGCTGGCCCCCTGTGGCACTGGGGGAGACTGTCGCGGATATCAGTATGACTGAAACCGAGTGCCTCCATAGTCTTAAAAAGTCCTGTTGCTCCAATAACAACATCCTTGTGACCTGCTAGTGACAATTACGAAGACACTCGGATGGCAGCCCAAAATGACAGACACCATATGAGTTCTTTGTTGACAACACTGAGAGGCTACACCAGTCTGGAATGATCAACTCCAAATTTATTATGTGAGAAAAAATGTTTCTTATGTGATAAAAGTAGTGTTTGTTTGCTTAAGTTTCTTTTAGTTGAGTTTTCTATTAGTTGAAGTTAAAAGGATTCTTAACTCTCAGAATGAATACCCTACCAGTTTCTGTGAAGAATGTTTAGGATCTCTAGGTTCTTGGCTAAGTAGCTGACAATCAGCACATGACTCATTAATGATGTTCATCTCCTACTGATTCCCTAACAAGATTCCAGATCTCTTTTTTAAAAATCAGTTTAATTCTGTTCTGACATTAACTTCAATGCATTTCTTCTTCTTCTGATCCCAGTCACCCTGGAGTTAAGTTAGATCTCACAGATTAAGAAACACAGTCCTCCAGACTGCCAAGTCTGCCCAAGACTTCAGACACCAGCTGCAAGATCCGGGATTCCCAGACCATACTTCTGACCAGCTGGCTTCAAATTTTGGGGTTCCCACTAACCCCTCAGGATACCAGCCATAAGTTTGGGGGGTCCTCAGGACACCTGCACTTCTGACCTGGTGACCACAAATTTGGGAGTTGCCACTACCCCCTCAAGTTTGATAATTCAGTAGAATGACTCACAAAACTCAGGAAAGTGCTACACTTAATGATTACAGTTTTATTAAAAAGGATATAAATCAGGACCAGCATAAAGAATAGATGCATAGGGTGAGGTTTGGGAGGGTCCCCAATGCAGAGCTTCTGTGTACCCAGAGGTGCATTACCTTCCTGTGCAGCAGCATCTGTTGCCAACCAGGAAGCTCCTCTGAGCTTCACTGTCCAGAGTTTTTATTAGGGTTTCATTACATAAGTAAGATTGACTGAATTATGCTTGAACTCAATCTTCAGCCCCCTTCCCCTCCCTGGAGGTTGGTCTTTCTGACATAGCTAGCCCCAGCCAACATGAGTCACCTCATTAGCATAAACTCAAACTGTGGTCTGGAGCCCTCATGAATAACCAGGACACTCCAATCATTCCAGAAATTCCAAAGGTTTAGAGGTTACCTTAAAGAAAGCAGGGACAAAGGCCAAATTCTTCACCCTCCACTCTGAACTCAACCTCACATGTCCCTTAACTAAAAGCCTCACAAAGTGTCACATCCTCCTGAAATGAATATCAACCAACACCAAATCCCATGTTGACTAAGTGGAAAATTCCATCGCAGGGAGTAAATAAAAGCTTTCTCCTGTGTGAGCCCTTTAATCACTCAGCTCCACCTTGTTAAGCCCAGTTTTGAAAAGCAAGTGTCTACTATTTCCCTTGTTGTTGTTACGGGCCGTCAAGTCGGTTACAACTCATAGCGACTCTATGTACAACAGAACAAAACACTGCTCAGTCCTGTGCCATTTTCACAATGGTTGCTATGTTTCAGCCCATTGTTGCAGCTGCTGTGTCAATCCATTTCGTTAAGGGTCTTCCTCTTTTTTGCTGACCCTCTACTTTACCAATAATGATGGCAGAAGACTTAGGACACAGGAGATACCGAATGCCCCGTTAGGTTTAGAAACATGGGTTGGAAAGAAGAGGGACACCAAAGGAAGGCACTGGACTGTATCACAACCATCACTTAAATACTCAGGTAAACAATATAAGGATAAAGAATACAAATACCACATGATATATGAATAGTTATATTTTTGAAGAGAGGCAATTCCAACTCACATGGGCCATGACTTAAAATTCCAAGAACTGATCAGTCGTCTTCTGGATTCCTCTCCTTGAGAAGCAGAGTCCTGAACAAGCAGAGCTAGAGGGAAGGAATCATGAGAGGACAGGCTTTGAGAGTTTTCAAGTGGACAATATGAGAATAGCATATTCTTTCCTGGAAAGCCTGAAGAAATCCTGGCCCTGTCCAAAACCCAACAGATCCAACTATAGCAGGACAGTTTCAGTCAAGTAAATTGTGCCAAACTCATGACATGGATCAGGATAGGATAAGGCCGTTCTGACTTTCCCTGGCCAGAATATCCCCTACAACCAAACCTAGGATTACCCTAAGAGCAATGGGACCCTCCAGACTGGTATTAACCCAGTGCACCTGCCCAGGGCCTTCATTTGTACTTCCTGTGACCATTTAAAAAAAAAAAACAAAAAAAAAAAACTTGTCATCAACTCAATTCCAACCCATAGCTAACTTGTAGGACAGAGTAGAACTGCCCCATAGGGTTTCCAAGGCTGTAATCTCTATGGAAGCAGATTGCTACATCTTTCTCCTGTGGAGCAGCTGTTGGGTTTCAACAACCTTTTGGTTAGCAGTAGAGTGCTTTAACCACTGCTCCACTTCCTGTGACTATGGCCTCTTATTTCCTCCATTGAGAATAATGCTGGCTGTTAGTTTTGCATGCATGCCTTTAATTATGCTGAGAAATTTCCCTTCTATTCCTATTTTTCTGAGAGTTTTTATTAGGAGAAATTGTTGGATTTTATCAAATGCATTTTCTACATCAAGTGATATGATCATATGGTTCTTTTCTTTTGTCTTATTTATGTGGTATACTACATTGATTTTCTAATGTTGAACCACCCTTGTAATCCTGGTATGAATCCTACTAACTCATAGTGTATGATTTTTTGATATGTTGTTAAATTCTGTTGGCTAGAATTTTGTTGAAACTTTTTGCATCAATATTTATGAGGGGTATTGGTATGTAATTTTCTTTTTTTGTGATTTCCTCGTCTGGTTTTGGTATCAGGTTCGTGCTGGCTTCATAGAATGAGTCAGGGAGTATTCCTTCCTCTTCTGTTTTTCAAGAGTTTGAGTAGAATTGGTGTCAACTCTTCTCTGAATGTTTGGTAGAATTCTCCAGTGAAGCCATCTGATCCTGGGCTTTTTCTTGTTTGCGGTTTTTTGATGACATCTTCAATCTCTTCTTTTGTTATGGGTCTATTTAGATTTTCTACCTGTTTGTGTTTGTTTTTAGGTAGGTAATGTGTTTCTAGTAATTTGTCCATTTCATCTAGGTTTTCAAATTTATTGGAGTACAATTTTTCATAGTATTCTGCTATGATCCTATCTCAGTTGGATCTGTTGTAATGTCTCTTATTTCATTTATTTTGGTTATTTGCCTCTTCTCATTTTTTTCTTTTGTCAGTCTATCCAGTGGTTTATTTTATTGATCCTTTCAAAGAACCAACTTTTGGTTTTGTTGATTCTATTGTTTTTGTTTTCTATTTCATTTATTTCTGCTCTGATCTTTATTAATTCCTTTCTTCTGGTAGCTTTGGTTTTCTTTTGCTCTTGCTTTTCTATTTGTTCTAGTTGTTGGATTTAAGTTACTGGTTTTGTATCTTTCTTCTTTTTTAAGGTAGGCATTTATTGCTATGAATTTCCCTCTAAGCAGTGCTTTTGCTGTAAGTATTTTTGCTCTAAGTATTTTTTTTAATTTCACTTCTGACTTCTTCTACACCCAATAGTTGTTTACTAGTGTGTTGTTTAGTTTCCATGTATTTTTTTCCTTATTTTTCCTGTTGTTGATTTCTAGCTTCATACCATTATGGTCAGAGAAGACACTCTGTATGATTTCAGTCTTTTTAAGTTTGTTGAAACTTGTTTTATGACTTAGCATATGGGCTATTTTGACAATGATCCATGTGCACTAGAGAAAAATGTGTATTGTTCTAATGATGTATGGAATGTTTAATATGTATGTCCATTAGGTCAAATTGGGTTATGGTTTTATTTAAGTCCTCAGTGTCCTTACTGATCTTCTAAAAAGATGTTCTGTCTAAAATTGAGAGTGGTGTGCTGAAGCCCCCAACTGTTATTGTGGAGTTGTCTATTTCTCTTTTCATATTAGTCAATATTTGTTTCATGTATTTTGAAGCACTGATGTTACGTATTTGTATATTTATAATTTTACGTCTTCTTAATGGATTGACCCTTTGATTATTATGTCGTGTCCTTCTTTATCTCTTGTAATAGATTTTGATTTAAAGCCTATTTTGTCAGGTATCAGTATGGCCACACCTGCTCTTTCTGGCTACTGGTTGCATGGAAATTTTTTCCATCCTTTTATTTTCAGTCTGTTTGTGTCCTTATGTCTAAGGTGTATTTCTTGTAGGCAGCAAAAGGATGGATCATGTTTTTTAATCCATTCTGTCACTCTCTGTCATTTGCAAGGGGAGATTAGACCACTTACATTTACGGTGATTTCTGAAAATGAAGTATCTACTTTATTCATTTTGTTATCTGTTCTATGTGTTATATCTTCTTTGTCTTTTTATTCTTATTTTTAGGCTATTTATTGTGTTTAGTTGCTTTTTTATGATGAGCCTTCTGATTTCTTCCTTCTTTTGTGTATTTTTTCTGGGTGATTTCTAAGTGGTTACCACAAATATATACTTGCAATTGCAACAACATTTAACAAACAAGTAACACATAACATTAACATACTAAAACTATTCTTGTTTTGCTCCTCCCTCCCCCTTTTCTGCTGGTGAGTCTCCAATGACATCACTATACAGCCTATATCCAATAGGTTTACTGTGTACTTCCTTATGCACTTGATGTTCTATTGCTTGTAGGATCTAACTATTGAGTATTGAGTTTATTCCCTGAAAATATACTTAATCCTTATAATTGCCCACACTGTTGCTTCTTTTTTTTTTTTTGGATCTCTCTCTCTTTATCATTTCCTATGTGTCCTTCTTCCTAGTCTGGAAGCTCAGCTGAAACCTGTCTGCCATGGGTGACACTGCTGGTATCTGAATACCGGTGACATAGCTTCCAGCATCACAGCAACATGCAATCCCCCACAGTATGACAAACTGAGAGTGTCAGTTGATATAAATCGACTGCAGCAGTATATTGACAGGGAACTCCCAGAAATTCAAGCCAGATTCAGAAGAGGATGTGGAACCAGGGGTATCATTGCTGATGTCAGATGGATCCTGGCTGAAAGCAGAGAATACAAGAAAGATGTTTACCTGTGTTTTACTGACTATGCAAAGGCATTTGACTGTGTGGATGGATCATTACAAATTATGGATAACATTGTGAAGAATGGGAATTCCAGAATATTTAATTGTGCTCATGAGGAACCTGTACGTAGATCAAGAGGCAGTTGTTCAGACAGAACAAGGGGATGCTGCATGGTTTAAAGTGAGGAAAGTGTACATCAGGGTTGTATCTTTTCACCATACCTATTCAATCTGTATGCTGAGCAAATAATCTGAGAAGCTGGACTCTGTGAAAAAGAACAGGGCATCAGGATTGGAGGAAGACTCATTAACAACCTGCCATATGCAGATGACACAACCTTGCTAGCTGAAAGTAAAGAAGACTTGAAGCACTTACTGATGAAGATCAAAGACCACAGCCTTCCACATGGATTATACCTCAACGTAAAGAAAACAAAAATCCTGACAACTGGACCAATAAGCAACATTATGATAAATGAAGAAAACACTGCAGTTGTCAAGGATTTCATTTTACTTGGATCCACAATCAACACTCATGGAAGCAGCAGTCAAGAAATCAAATGACACATTGCATTGGGCAAATGTGCTGCAAAAGACCTCTTTAAAGTGTTGAAAAGCAAAAATGTCACCTGGAAGACTAAGGTGTGCCTGACCCAAGCCATGGTGTTTTCAATCATATCATATGCATTCGAAAGCTAGACAATGAATAAGGAAGACTGAAGAATTAACACCTTTGAATTGTGGTGTTGGTGAAGAATACTGAATATACCATGGACTGCCAAAAGAACAAACAGATCTGTCTTGGAAGAAGCTAGAATGCTCCTTAGAAGCAAGGATAACTAGACTTCATCTTACATACTTTGGCCATGTTGTCAGGAGGGATCAGTCCCTGGAGAAGGACATCATGCTTGGTGAAGTAGAGGGTCAGCAAAAAAGAGGAAGACCCTCAGCAAGATGGATTCACACAGTGGCTGCAACAATGGGCTCAAGCATAACAATTGTGAGGATGGCGCAGGACTGGGCAGTGTTTCATTCTGTGGTACACAGGGTCACTATGAGTCAGAAGGGACTTGATGGCACCTAACAACTTGTGTAGAGTCAAGTATTTGTTTAATGTTCTTTCCTTTCCATTTGAAGAACTCCCTTAGGTAATACCTACAGAGCTGATCTGTTAGTGGCAATTTCCAAGAGCTTCAGTGTACATGGGAATGTCTTGATTTCCCTCTGGTTTTTGAATGACAATTTTGCTGTGTAAAGAATTCTTGGTTGACAGTTGTTTTCCTTCATTGTTTTATATATGTCGCTCCAGTGGCTTCAGGTTTCCAGGGTTTCTGGGGAGAAATTTGCACTAATTCTTATGAAAGATACTTTATGTTATATTGTGCTTTTCTCTTGCTGCTTTCAGAATTCCCTCCTTACCTTTGGTTTTCAGGAGTTTTATTAGGATGTGACATGGGGTTGGTCTCTTTGTATCTCTTCTAATTGGAGTTCATGTAGCTTCTTGTATTTGCAGGCTTCACTCCCCATTCAGGTCTGTGTATTTCTCTAAGATTATCCTTGGAAAATTCTATGCCTTCCTTATTATCATGATGCTCTGGAATTCCAAAAATTCTAATGTTAGATTTCTTGAGTCCCACATATCCACTTGGTTTTGTTCATTTTTCCTTGTTTTTTGCTCTTATTTCTCCTGGAACTTAGTAAGTTCAGTTACTCTGTCTTGTCTTCTAGTTCACTATTCTATCTTCTTGTAAGTTTGAATCGATTGTTGAATGTTTCTCTTGCATTTTCTAAATCAGTTAATTTAGTCTTCAGTAATTCTGTTTTTTT